TCGTTCTCTCCCTCCATTTTTTCAAACCCCCCGAATGAATCCCCTTTTTCTTCTCCTCTGATTTTTCTTTTTATCTTTCTTCTGTGATTGCCCTTTGGTGATTGATGATGTCTGATATTTCCAGAGGAGATAAGGCCGTGGCAGGAATTAAATCGACCTTGGGATAGCATTTGTACATGTTCTTAATTTTTTATTGGGTTTTCTCTGACTTTGATATGATTTTTGCTTTCTGTCACTGTGGATGGATGGGAACGACTCGCAGAGATGTTCGGCGATGGCTCAGGGTCGCTTGACGACGGCTAACGTGCAACTTGGTGGCTGACTTCGTCTGGCTGTGGTGGTTGGTTATCACTTAGGGTTGAGAAACCCTAACCCTTAAGTGATCTAGACCGTTGAAGGGTCTAGATCCAAGGGCCAAAATAGCGGCGGCTCATAGAGACTAAAGGGAAACCCTAGCAAGGTTCTGGGTCAGTTTGGGTTGGGTTATTGGCCCGAATACTGTGTTGGATCCGGGTCCCTGAGTTAGGTCGAGCTTGTTGTAATCTGTTTGGGGCTGCTGGGCCAACTTGTAATGGGCTTGAGATCTGGGCTGGCTGATGGGTGTTGGGCTACAAAAAATAATGCAATTTCCATTAATAATAATAATAATAAATTAAAATAAAATTAATTAAATAAATAAAAAAGACCTGGACAAAAACGGATGTCTACAACAGTCTCGCAACATGTACTATCATTACAAGCTTTATTTGAATTAAAAGCACCTAAGAGTGTTTCGCCATTGAGACAACCAGAATCACACCCTACAATTTTAGGTTCAATTCCCGCCATGAGAGTTCTGCTCTTGCAATTTGTTGCTATGAATTTGGGAAGAAGTTTTTTGTTCGTAAAACACTACCCTACACAAATATTGGCAAGCGGAATTTTAGAATAATCCGCAGGCCAGGTTTTCTTTTCACATCGCCACCATTTTAAGAACATCACCCATATAGATTCTATGGATAGAAAACCTAGCAAGTTTAAGTCATTTGCTAAAGAGGTTGATTAAAAATTAAGCCTAGCTATTGAATTGTATTGATTACGAAGTATTACAATAATTTAAATATCAAATCAACAATTTTAATCGGTTCAACATATTGGTTGTATTTGTTACATAATTTGAGACGAAAATAAAATAAAAATAAAAAATCGAATTTTTATTAATAAAGTAGAAGAAACAGTTTAGAGTAAAGAACTCGAACAATAATAGAATATCGAACTTGAATCTGGTTGAGGCCTGCAACTACGTAGTTTCCTTAAGATAGATTTTCAGTCACTCCTTATGCTCGAGATATCTTGGTCGTATGTCTCCTAGGATACAACAACGATATGATCAACACACAGTAGCAGAACTTGCGAGATAACGAACCAAATCTTACTAGAGACTATAATCGAAAACAAGAGAGAAAGAGAGTTTTTTTAACCGTGTTTAACCTAGTTGGTTAGCACCGTATTTACAGTGTTTCACGAGGGAGATGAATTGGAAATAATATATTTAGGCTATTAATTAGTATCTGAATTAAATTGAAAATAATCCATTAATACCACCTTAAAAATATTTCGGTTGTTAATATGTATCTGAATAAAATCGAAAATAATCAATTAACACCGTATCATATCGAATATATTCGTGAATTGCAAGTCATACCATATTTAATATTTAAATTAAAAGGAAATCACATAAAATCCAAAAAGAACATTTAATTCACAAGCCCCCGACCGATCCAAATATTCACATCGCCCATGTCGTGTAGGTGCATGCCCCCAACACCGATGGGTTCAACGAGCTTGGATTTGCAACGCCCCTATGCCTACACGCGAGGCACAACATCAACCTAAATCATTTAATTACTAGCATGTTGGTTTGTGTATATAAACCATTTCATTGCTTGATATATATTCCACTAACGTAGGATATGAGTTTTCCTATTTTCCTAACACAACATAATTCACATCTACCTTATTTTGAGCTTTAATTTCTCATCCATCACTCAACCGTTTTGAGCATATGAGATACCGTTGTAAAGATATCACGTAGTAGAATATGAATCAATAAATTTATTATTCGATTCTTCATCTTTACACTTAGGAAATATGCTCCAAAATTTCTAATTTATCACATTTTTTCCAACACTATTAAAAAAATAAAAGGTTTTACCTTTCTCCCTGATAATTTACTATCACCATCACCTACCCTAATTATCTTTAAGAAAATCTACCATCATTACACAAATTTATGATACCAAAAAAAGAAGAAGACCCTTCTTAATTCTTATGCCAGTTTAGAGTTAAGAGAGCTGGTGAGGTAATTGGGTGGGAAACTGCCCACATCATACAATTCATTTTTTTTTTACTTTTTATGGTTTTTTTTCTCTTTTTTATACCGTTCATTTTTTTAACTTTTAGGGGTTTTTCTCTTTTTTAAAAACTTTTAGGTTACTAATGTTTAAACTCGTAACATCTAAAAATAACAATGATTCCTTTAACTACTAAGTTAAATTAATTTTTTCCCACAAAATGATCATAAATAATTTACAAAGATTCAAACGTTAGATATATTGAATACATGTTAAAAGATTTTGTATATTTTTTAATTATTTTATTTCATACAAAAGTACGAAAGATAAAAATAATTATATAAAAATATTAATTATTATTTTTAAAATATTTTAATTATTTATCCATTGAACTAGTGCCCAATTAACTTCTCACATTAACTCTACAAAAAGTATACATAATGAAACAAGCTTGAAAATTATATAACACAGCACAACCGGATTTCATAGTAACCTTTCGTTGTAAAGATAAAGAAATTATCAGGAAAGTTCATGGGATTTAAATCGGAAAGGTTGGCTTATTATATTTTAGGGTAAAGTATATAAATGGTCTCCCGATTATAGGAGACTATTTTATTGAGTCATCTGACTATTAAAATTTATGAAATAGTCCATTGACTATATAATATTATTTTGTTGAGTCCCCAACTATTAAAAGTTACAAAATGATTACTCGACTTTTTATATGTTCAAAACTCATCATTTTATGTTACAAAAATTGATGGCAATCTGAGCTAGACGTTAACATGATGATCGCGATATGTTAAACTCTGATCACAAAATCTCAAACGACTATCATATCTCAATCAATATGTTAATGTCTAGCTCAGACTATCATAATTTTTTAACGAAAAAGGACGAATTTGGAACATATGAATAGTCGGGGTGACTATTTTGTAATTTTTAATAGTCAGGGACTTTATAAAGCAATGTCTTATAATCAATGAACCATTTTGTACCTTTTAATAATCGGAGGACTCAACAAAATAATACCCTATAATCGAGATACTATTTGTGTACTTTACCCTATAGTTTAAATTGTACAGTGTGTGGAGTTTGGGACCATTTATGTGACAATAATGGTACCTTTGCTTTGTATGAGGAGAATCAGAAACTGTGCAGTTTGTGAAGAATACTTTTCACTGCTTTGTTTCATCACCTTGAGATGCCCACCACTGCCAATTACAACGCTTCAAATAAAAACAAATACTCTCAACCCTAAAAAGAAAAAAAGTTTCTTTCCTGATTTTCTTCCCTACCAAACAAACAACTCATCTGGGAAAAACTTAAAGAAAAACCAGATAATCAGCTATTCTGATATATTACGCACACACACGATCACACACTTTAAAACTTCATGATCAAACGACTTTTTCATGTTCATGTTTAAACCAGTAATTATGCAGATTGTTTTGTTTTCTTGGGGGAAAAAGTATGTCATAACTTTTATTATAACAGTTAAATTTCCTTGTTTTCACTTGTAATGCTTTGATTCCTTTCTAGCCCTAGGGTTTCTATTTTTGCTTCTCTGGAAGGATTGCATTACCCATATTTTATCTGATCAAAATTAGGAGAAACTTTTGCATGTAGAAAAAGCTAACAGCTTGTTATGATCCAAGATGAGCAATCGAAGTTGAATACTGCATTTGTTTCAATGAATAGAGAGACCGAAGATTTGATATATTTCTTTTTCATTTTCTAACAACTGTTAGGTTTAAAGACACTTAAACTTGTCCTTTATACATGCATATTCTTTCTTCACATAAAGCTGCGTCTTGTGTGGTCCTCTTTTCAATCACTACTCGATGTTTCTAAAGCAGATATAGAGATTGGTCCCAACCCTACTATCAAATTCACAATCCTCCCACACTTATCTTTGGTGGATTGTGTACTCTTATCCTCTCCGGCTGATGTTATCCCCTCTATGTAGGGATTCAAATAACAGTCGAGTAGCGAAACAATAACCGTTATATAGTGATAGCAGTGGCGGCCGAAACTACTATCATGGAAAATAATGGTGTGAAACAGAATCACATTAATAACAATGGATCACAACTGCAATTTAATGGATAGATGCCAATTACGATAATAACTTCTGTTATGTCTGTAACCGTAATAAACACAACACGACCGAATACGTGACTGCAACTTTAAATTAAATCCATGCATCTGTGTTAAGTCATAAATAATCTTATTGGAAATCAGTTTAGATTAGATAGTAGGAACAAAGCAACAAAATCTAACAAAGAATCGTATTACAAGAACATCTTTCCTATGTTCAGGATTTGTGGCTATCCCTTCCAATGATATTTGTTTGAGATTCGAATTTGAATTCTCTCTCTGAGAGTGTAATATACAATATCGGTTCACATTCCACTTGTTGTTAGGAACATGTTGTGTACTAGTATTAGGCATGCATTGATCAACCCCATGTGATAGGGATTCGCCTCACAAAGGCCTTTTGTAGTTGTCGATAAAGAATGCCATTTCACTTTTTGAAATGCGGTTTAGCCATGCATGGTCCCCCATTGTTTTTGTGTTAAGAAGAGAGCGATCACATCGTTATCCAAACTCGGGTGAATATGAATGACATTTTGGCATGCATGGTAGTTAATCTGTTTATCTTTATTCTCTCATATTTTCTTAGATCATAGATTCTCGACTCACATTGTTTGAGCGATCATATTATTTTTGTGGTGAAGCCATGCATGGTCCCCCATTGTTTGAGTACATTTAGCCAGGTAATTAAGCTGCTCATCTTTGTTCTCTTATATTTCCTTAAATCATGGGTTCTAGGCTCACTAGGAGTACTCTCTTTTCATCTTCTAAAGTCTCTCATTCTCCTCCCTCTAAGTAAGATTAGGATTAGATTTAGAATTTGTCCAAAAAAAATTGAAAGAAATGAAAGATTGCATGCCATTCGAGTGAGTATGAAATTAAAGTATATTCATATGTTAGAGTGGATCCAAAGAGAGCAAGCAGGGATGGATCGAAAGATTGGGTGGGACAATCGGCCCTTAAAAATTTTAAATTCTCATACATTTTATATTTTTTTTTTGTATTTTATATTGATTTTTTTAAAGAAGAGAAGGCTTCAATAAAAACCCACCTTTATATTCGAGTTCAGGGAGAAACTCAAGCCCAAGCATTAGAAGGAGAAAAAGAGTGCATAGAAAAAAATTGTTTTCAACCTTAAATATTTGAGTTTGCCCTTATATTTTTCTTTATAAATTCATCTAACATAAAATCTTACATCCGTCATCTAATATCTTGTAGGTGTTGACACAAATGGTAGTAAAATTAATCACTTCATTTTTATTTTTTATATTTGTTTTATTATTCATATTTAGTTAATGATATATACCACGTGGAAGCCCTACTACCATTGCTTTTCTTTATTTTCCTTTTCCCTCTTCAATGGACTATGGTTGGTACAATTCCAGCAATGGATGAACTTCACCAGTAAGTTCTTTCTCATAATTAAAACAAAAAATTGTAACCTCTCAATATAAACATATATGTATATACATATCTTCAGATTGGCCTGGGTAAGTCCATAACCAAAGTTTAAAGGTGCTTTCATTCAAGTGTTTGATACATTTTTGTAAGTTTAAATGGACTATGATATTTTTTCTTAGCTTGAAACTTTGATTATTTCAAATAATCTGGTCTTTCTTCTCCATTTTCTGTAAAAACCTATATCCTTTTTAAGTATTACTGTGAGATCTGCGTTACATCTTCATAGCTTTCTATCTGATAAAAAGGGCATGAAATTTAGGGTTTGTTATTCGTCTCAAGTTTGAGGCATAAGCCGTTAGTTCAGCAATTTTTTCTTTACAAACTTTCTTAGTTTTTCCAGGAAAAAAGGGATTTGTTTACTTTCATTATTAATTTATGAATTTTATGTGTTTGTTGTTGTTCTTTATTTTTCATAACATTTCGAAGCTTTTTGCAAAAAAAAAAGGGGATTGAATTCACCTGGTTTTTCAGCTTTCTGATGCAACAATGATAAGAGACATAAGATGATTTCGAGTTCAGAAAACGCAGATTCTCCGACAAGACACAACGACGACGACAAGAATGAAAGCAAGCTGATCAACAAAGCTCCATCGAGTTCGTCGGCGCCACCGTCACCATGGTTGAGATTGAAAGATCCGAGGATCGTACGTGTTTCGCGTACTTTTGGGGGAAAAGACAGGCACAGCAAAGTTTACACCATACAAGGATTGAGAGACCGAAGGGTAAGGCTGTCGGTTCCCACTGCAATTCAATTGTATGATATTCAAGACAGGCTTGGACTTAATCAACCTAGCAAGGTCGTTGATTGGTTGCTTGATGCTGCTAAGCATGATATCGACGAACTCCCACCATTGCCGGTGCTGCCGCCGGCCTGCTTTCTGAATTCCGACGCCTTTTCGAGGGCTAAATCGAAAGAAATCTCTAGGGTTGCAATTGGTGATAAACGAGAAAAATGTGGACCAAATGAAGATGATCATGGTGCACAAGCTTTAAACAATACCGTACCATCGTCTCATTCATATCGCCATTTGGAGCCTTCGAGTTTTCCTTCATCATCATCATCATCACATTTAGGAAGTCATGGAATTATAGTACATGCGCCCCATTCAGAAGAAGCACACAATTTCAATGCCGTGGCGCCGCCATTGCCATCCGCATTATCTCTATGTCCACCGCCACTAGGAGGCGGAACACCGCCTTTGTTTCCACCTCATCCCGTGGATCCTAGACAACAAATAAACCATTTTCAGATGCCGAGCTCAGGTGCACAACAACAAAGCCTCCTGCTTAATTCTCTCAACTTTCCACCGTTTTCATCGGTAACCCAATCCATTACACCCTTCCAATTGATTTCTCCTAGGTTTCTCCATAGCCATCCAGATAATAAGGAACAGAACTTTCCTTCTAAATGACAACAAAATCAAGTACTATATGGGTAATAATAACATTTAAGGGCCAACCGAATGAGGCATACGACATATTGTGTTTCTCTTATGTTCCATCTAGAATGTAAGTTTTCTTAGGGTTTGTGTTTGATTTTCATAATTTTTGGGTTTTCAAATATGTCGTAGAATTGAATGCTATGCCGTTGGATGTTGGAGTGATTGAAATTTATATTTGATATTGCATGAATAGTTTGAAGCAATATTAAAATATCACACACTGTTCATACTTCATCTATATATATAATACATATAAATAGTGCACACATTTGCTTTTGATAGTAGACAGCTTTTTGTAGTGGATAATTTTAATAAACTGGACTTGTAAAATCTGAAAACAAATTAAACGAAAATATTTAATTTTTTATATTAAACAATTATAGCCCTCTATTTTCTCTTTGCTTTTTTTTCTTATACTAAATATAAAAATAAGTGTTTAAACTATATATTTTTCCTATTTAGGTGTTTAAGCTATTTTTAGTCAATCCAGATGCTTAACGTTACAAACGTTACTATTTTAAGTGCTATGATCTTAATATTTGATAATTTTATTTTTAAAAAACTTAAAAATATTTTATTTTTCTAAAAAACCTTAATTTTTTTCTAAAATACCCAACCCCACACAAAGTCCTCAATTCTCTATTTCCACCCCTATATTAATATATGGTTAACCGGAGTCATTCCTAGAAATTCTAACACGATAGAAAAAGGACATCGTCGTCGACAGAGATGGAGACAAGCCCTAGCAGTGCTCCAATCACCACTGTAGCACCACTCATAGTCGATTCATCTTCTTCTCCACTCATAGTCATCATTATGTTGTTGTCAAAACTCATCCGTCAATCGTCAGATTCCACTTTCGATCACCTTTTTGTAGTGGACCAAATAGGAAATTAGGGTTTTGAGATTTGGGAATTAAGGCTTATGAAATGTGGGTATTATGTTTTAAAAAGTTTTGATTTTTTTAAATATCATAATATTTTTAAGTTTTTTAAAAAAATAAATTTTTAAAATTACAAGAACATAACATGTGTCACTTAGTAGAATTTATTAACGGCAGTGACGGTCCATGCACATAAAAGTGTAACGTTAGAAACGTTAGACACTTGGATTGATCAAAAAATAGTATAGACACCTAAATAGAAAAAAGAATATAGTTTATACACTTATTTTTATATTGTGTCTTTATATTAAAACTAACAATAGTGAGTATTTTTGTTTTTAAAAAAATATTCACAAAGAAATTGTGAAAATTTTGATATATTTATGTATGTCTATATGAGACAGGATTCGTTCACATCGTGCAAAGCTTTTTATTTTAAAAATTTTTATGATTGTTGGATGAGTGAAAATAGGTGACTGAAATTAATAGTAGAAAATGTAAATATATTCACTTAAAAAAATAAGGAGATCATTCCAACATTCTCCAACGATCCTAAAATTATATAAAATCAAAAACTTTTCACTAGGTATAACTAAATTATATATATAGGTTAGGATCCACTTACACTGTGTAAAACTCTTTTAGTTTTACATCTTTTTAGAATTATTGAATTGAGAGAAATCAAAGGCTGAGATTAACTCCTTATTTTTCTCCAATGAATATCTTATCATTTTATATTGTTACTCCAACCTTTAATTTCTCTCAGTCAATGGTTCTAAGAAGGTGTAACACTAGAAGTATAACACCTTAATTCAATTTAACCCAAAGATCCATGGATTACAATGTTACAGGGGACTATCGAAATGGTGACCCAAAAATTTCTTTTGAAAACTGCTTAATAAATCATTAAAATAAACCATTATAATAGTAAAAGTAAAACGGGGTAATAATCTGAGTTTACAAAACAATGGGGAGCTCCCAAAATGTATCCAAAATAAATAGAATACCAAGTACAAACCAAAGTTACGACTGAATATACATAACTGTCTACAAATAGTACATGTGCTCTAAAGATGACTCAAGAAGTACTCCGATGGTCTCTGAGGAGTTGGTTTGTTGCACTGGAGTGTCTGGTGATGATAACTCCCCTCCAACTACCCCTAAGAACCTGTGCACAGAAACTGTAACACCCCAAACCGTACCCGACCCAGATACGACTCTGAGGTGTCACATTGACTTTTCAAACACTTTGACTCTTTTAAAATGTGACTAAAATTTTTACTTTTATTGGAAAAAGGAAAACATGTTTACAAAACATATCAGAGTATCTATACTTTACATTTATATTACATGCCAACAACATTTCAAAACTCAATTACATACATTTTGAATTTCTCTGATCTGAAAATCTTCAGAGGTATGTTGTCCTGCCTCTTGCTTACTCAGCTTACTCCTCGCATAACTTTAAACCTATGTGTGAAAACACTCACACGCTAAGTCTATGAGTTAGTGATGCATTATGAGCAATATAAAACAATAAAACATTTATAGAAATTTTACAAAAGAAATATTAAGTACAAAATACCACAAGTTTTATAACTTATAACATATCTTATTAAACATTGATAACTTTGTACTGATGTTACTCTTGCTTATACATTTCATATCATTAACACATAGACCTTTAGACAATTAATGTAAAATTTATAACCAGTTTTCATTTCATATAAACTGCATATAAATTATACACTTTTCATTCAATGTCAATTTGTTTAATTTATATCCATTTGTTTAGTTAGCCCAACGTATATCGCTGAGAACTCAAGGTATGTGAGTACGTTGAGGTTGTGCACTGGGTTGCAGTCGAAACTACCACATAGAATTACACCGAAGTGCCACGTAGAATATGCACTTAAGTGCCACGTAGAAATGATCCAAAGAACCACGTAGAAATGTCCCGAAGGACAGCGTAGAATTTGTCCCGAAGGACCACATAGAATTGCTCCGAAGGACCGCATAGAACTTTCGACTCTTGGCATGCCAACTATACCTCTAATTCTCATACATATACCTCGGGCTTTAACTTTATAATTATTTTTTCATTTCACTATTTAAAGTGTGTCTTATTCGTATAAAGTATATTCTCGTAGTTTACTTTCACGTAGAGCATTTTCATATAAGGCATATTCACGTATATCACATTCACATAGAACAATTTCACATAGCATTTACTCATATAAAACATATACTCATAGCCTTTCTCATGTCATTATTCCAAATTTTATCATTTATTCACATAGAACTTATTCTAGTAATATTTCCTTTCACATATACCAAAATGAACTTATCATATAAAATATTTTGGGTAATTCATACCCGAAATCATTTAAAGAAATCATAATAAAATATGAATTATAACAAAATTTATAAACAATTTTTTCCAAATCATTTGAGGTCGACTCCTCGCAAGTCTTCCTCATTCTATACTTTAAAACATAAATATTAATGCACCCACATTTGCCTCACGTAAGTTCTAAGCAAAATCCTTTTCTTTTCATTCAATCTCATACTGTGTTGATTCCTTCAGTACCATTTCGATCCAAATCTACACATAGACATGCCTCATATCAATACTGAATCTCTGTTAACATTTAACCGATTAACACTACATAAATGGAACGAAAGACTTTAAAATTAAGTATTGTGCAGGATTGACGAGTTCAAGTTTATATAAATAAAAGTTATATTAGATTAGAGACAAACAAAAAAAAATCATCCTATTTACATATTTGATAATTATTTAATAGTTAATATTAGTATAAATTGTTAATTATATATATATTAATTAATTTAATTTTTATAAAATATTTAAACTAAACATGCTTATATTTACTAATAAATAACAAAAATATGTACTTTCAATTAAAGTGTTGATGATATGGCTGTATGTTACATGTATATTATGTACAAATAAATTTTATTTTAGTATTTTTTATTTTTTAATAATTTATACTTTATCATTTTATAATTTTTTTATTTCTTATATTTTTAATATTTTATATATTTTTTCTTTCAAAAAATTATTTTATATTTATTTTTAACTGTTTAAATATTTTTAAATTTTAAATATACAACACCCTAAATTTCAGGCTAGTAGTTTCAGGTTTACCTGAGAGGTAAGTGGACCCTACAGAATTTGTAATTCAAGTCGTTGGACTTAATTGGATTGGTCTTAGGCCCGTTAGTCATAAAGAGGGGTTTTTGCAGAGTAAAAAGATAAGGAGAGATTAGAAGAGCAATTAACCCATTTTAAAAGATGAAGATTTTTATTCCTTTCATTTTATTCCTCCTTTCTCATTTTATCTCCTTCCTCATCCTCCCCAAAGTCCATATCATAAAGATAAGATTTTGAACCCATTTCCATGCTTCAAAATCGTTTTTAATTCCCTCAATAACATCATAGCAATAGATCAAGCTTTAGTTCCATGTTTGCAAGAGAAAAATTCAAGTTTTCATCCAAACAATGGAGAAAAGTGATTTCTAGCTAAAGGAGCTCAATTTCAAGATTCAAGTAGCAAGGTAGTATATTTTTAATCCTTTAGAGTATCAAGTTTCCATAAATTTCAAGAATTTGCTCGGATTTGGACACTTGAGTATGTTTAGTGTTTATATTTAATTTCATGATTCAACCACGTTTTAGGTGTTAAAAATGTGTTTTTAAGACACCTTAAGACCATGAACAACTCACTAAAACTTCAGAACAAGATTAAAAACCAACCCCAATCATTTAGGATGATTTTGGGTATTTTCTCGAGCCTAAAATGTCAGTTCCAAAGTTCGAGTATCGATACTGGGATGAACAATATCGATACTGTTAAATTAGGGCTAAAATTAGGGTTTTCAGAGTGAAGTATTGATACTCAGGGTAGCAGTATCAATATTATTCCCGCAATATCGATACTCCGGGTAGCAATATCGATATGTCCCATTTTTGCAACAAAATGTATTTTTGGTACTGGTACTCGTAGGTGTACCGGTACTTGACCCTAGGGTATCGATACTATAATTAGAGTATAGATACTACCCTCTTTCTATGACTAGTTTTAACCCGATTAAGGTCCGTAAGAGCTTGGGATGGTCTGTAAGGGTAAAGCTTAGTCCGAGAGGGACATAAATGGCCAAACGGCCCCAAAGACACTAGTAGGAGTGAGCTACAACTAGCGTAACCATAACAGGTGTAATGCGTCCAAGTATCTTCAGTAAGCACGTAACATATGTTTATGGATGGAGGATTAGTACACTGAGTGTACCCACGAGAGGTGCGACCAAG